CGCAACTTTACGTGTCCGTAGTCGGCGGCCGTCCACCCCGTCCAGGACGGCGCCAAGGCAGTCCGTCCCGTCCAAAGACGAGACAGTCTCGTCCTTCGTCGTCCTCACCCCGTCTTGGACGGACTGGACGACTGGAAGCACTGCTTCTACTTGGTGGCAGGAGAATCGTCAACAAAGCGAATACCCAACACTTGCGGCATGGGCAATTACCCTCCTATCAATTCCTGCCATGTCTTCCGAACCTGAACACGTATTCTTAGGAGGCAAGATGACTATTTCTGACTCCCGTCACTCTCTCAATGCTGAAACAATTGAGTCAACCGAGTGCCTCCGAAGTTGCCAGTCCATATAAAATTCACTCTTTCTATTGAAAATAATCACTACTATTTCTCACTGTGTTGTGTTCATCTCCTATTTCAAGCACCATCTGTTCTCATTGTCAATTCTTTATTTTAATCTGGTATTAGTAGATCTACATTCATCTCTTTTATGGCTGTTCACCTGTGCGGGGGCCCGATGGGCTCGTTGGGTTACCCGGGCTATACTTCCTTGGGCTTGGGCTGGGCCGGGTCGGCCCTTTTTTCGACCCGGGCTAGCCCATTGCAAGGCTTGTATTGGACATACTGTCCCTAGCATATCGGAGAGACAACCCCCTGGAGCATGCAGGTGGGATCTGTAGGTGTCTTGGGTGCGCAATTGGAGGCACTGCAGGCGGGTAAACCTTTTGGATACCATGCGCTTGGCGGTAAACCCTTTCGGATACCATCCCCCGGGAAATATACCATCGAAAAAGTGAAACCTTTGTACTCATACACAATTATCTTCCTTTGCCAAGAACTCTAAGAAGATTGCTAAACACCTTCAGTATTACCTAGTTCATCTTAAAAAGTTGGGGAGAAATTTTTTAAAAATACTAGCAGAGTGTGAGTATTTCATTACTTTTTCCCAGGACTTTTTTTTAATTTATTTGCATTTTTGAACAATAAAAAGATGGGTGGAGATGTGTAAATATTTTGTTGTTCGTTGCGAAGGTTTCACTTTTTCGATGGTATATTTCCCGGGGGATGGTATCCGAAAGGGTTTACCGCCAAGCGCATGGTATCCAAAAGGTTTTTTCAACCCGTCCAAAGGGCTTGTGCGCTATACCGTGTCAGGAGAGCTCTACCATGCTTGCTTGTTCGTGAAGTATCTGGTCACCTTCGCATCGATTGATACCTAAATTACTTTATCAATTGGCAATTAATCCGTCGCAATAGCTTTTGTCCCTAAACCTCGAGAAGGTATGCCTTCTGGAGATGGCGAATCACCAGGGCTCACGCGGTACCGTAGGCAATCCGACCTTCGTGAGCATTATCCTGCAGATCTTTAGCTTGTACGAGTACATCGAGATCGTTGCTACGCTTGACTATGCTGAGTTATGGACTGGGTCAATCGGAGCTGAAAATTCCTCAATGGGGTAAAAGTCCTGTTTCTGGGATCACCCGACTGCACAATCCGGCTAGGCCCTCTACGCGCTTGTCCTAGCATCTCCGCAGCAAGTATTAGTACCCGTTTGTCCTTTGTCGGTGTGTAGTAGGTACCGGCGCTCCAAAAGGGTGATAACTCTTGGTGCGGGCACACTGGGCACGGGGATTGGGTAGCCAAAAGTAAGCCCAAGCGCGAACGACGATAGGATACTTATGGGCTATTTAACCTTGACTTTTGCATAGGAACCTTAAGATAAATACATGTGCCCAATAGCAAACTCTCACCCCCCCCCCCGGTTCTCGGAAGTAGGGGAAAAGAGAACTACGGAAAAAAAGAGGAACAAGACCAGGTCTGGTCACACGGACAAAAGAACGATACGAGTCTATACTTGTACAAATAGAGGTCCCCCTGTAAAATAGGGAGACACTGTCTAGACCCCCAACCTATTCCGGTATGGGTCCATCCACGATGAAGGGCTTGTCCTTGGAAAGCTGTGATATGGACTCGTCGCTGAGGTGTAGTGTGTCCTGAACAACCTGAGGCGGGGTAAGAGCGAGCCACTGGCCAACACTAAAGTCTAAATTCACAATTGTTATTGGGGTTGACCTAGCAATATATTTAATTCCGGATAACTACTTACCAGTGAACCTCTTTGCCTGGAGGACCTCCAGAACAACGACGTCTTCAGTTCCAGTGTTTTCAATGTAATGAGTCTGACTCTTTGGGATGTATCCGACGTCACCGGTCCGGAAATCAAAGGTTCGGGCGTTTCCCTGGGCTGCATAAATTGTGAGACGCGCAGTTCCAGACAGGAAATATGACCACTCATCCGAGTCCGGATGCCAATGGATCTCACGAATGGCTCCAGGCTTGATGGTGACGAGGGCGGCGGCGAAATTCTCCGCAATGGGGAACGTATTGGAGTCGAGGATCTTGACAGTTCCCCCGGGCGCGGTGATTGGCTTTTGCAGGGACCAGTGGTAAGAGTAACTATCCTTGTTGGGAATGATACCTGCCGGACCGGTGACATTCTGCTTCTCTATATCTTCCGGCGCTTGGGTGCCCGGGAAAATGAATAGCTCACCCTCCGGAATATCATCGAAGGCCTTTTCCGGAAGCTGGAAGTTCTTGGTAAGGACCTCTTTCTAAATGATTTGTTAGCGGATCTCAACTATGCCTGATGGCGGGGTACTGACAGGATTGAGTGCAAACGTCTCGGAGACAAGGAAGGTGCTATCCTCAGAGAATTCGCCGTCGTCGAAGACCAATAAGAACTCAGTCCCGTTCTCGAGGCCTTGGATGGAATGGGGTACACCGCTAGACCCGTGTTAAATCCTTATGCGAGAATCTGGTTTTCAAGAGTAATAGAAACGCACCTTGGAAAGAACCAAACATCTCCCTTGGTGACATCATCGATGAATGTCTGACCATCGACATTCATAGCCTGGATTCTGGCTGACCCATTTAACATCAACGCCCACTCCCCAGCAGTATGCCCTATAAGATATCAATATCGGGGATTAATTTTATCGGAACGACATGACGGGACATACAGTGTAATTCACGGTACCCCCCTGCCTCAAGTCTCATGTTGACGCCAGCCATTTCTGTCGCGACAGGCAGCACATTGATATTTTGTTGTCTACTCCATCCGGCTCTATCCAACCCGAGCTTGACATGACTCAACCCAAGAGGCCACTCCGCCTGCTTGACAGCTCCGTGATCTGTCGTCGGTGGTGCGAAGGAGTCCGGGTGCAACTTCTCGAGCTCGACATCATGGTTGCTGGCAATTGTGCCACCGCGGGTACCTCTTAGTGGTTGCGGCTCGGTGACATTCTTAAAGTTAAGAATCCGCCCTTCCGGATCATCCTTATCTTGTCCGGGTGCAAGTTCAACTGGTGATCTGTTTGCACTCTCCGTTGCAAATGGAAGCTCAGGATCATACCCGCGAAGGGACGTGGGCCCTCTGAGATCCCCCGAGACAGCATATGTCTTGGTAGCGGCCTGTGGAAGTGGGGGGGCCGGAGCGGGCATTGCCGCAGCGAGTCCGAGAAATAAAGGGAGGAGAAGGTGGTGTTTGGGGAACATGGTGAATTCGGGGGCGAGGGTGGGGGGGTGGTGGATGGTGGGGAGAGGAACTGGGGGAGGAGCACCTAGGTCTTTTATACTAAGAAATACCGGGATCCATCAGAAGTCGATATCAGCTTGGTGGGGGAATGTTGGAGAAGAGAACCCCTATGGTATGGAGAGAGACTCATGGAGCCACCCTCATGGTATCTGCTAAGCATCGGGAGAGTCAAGAAATCCCCCTGACATCGTTCAGTTGTGTAATCAATACAGTATAGACGCCTTTGCAAGCGTGAGGGGGTCAATATCCTACTAGAATTAATGAGAGAGATGTCTGCTCTTGTACAGAGCCCCGGCCATTTTGCTCTCCGCCCTGTGGATAAGTATTGGATGCCGTTTTTACCCGTCCTGGAATGTTGGAAAACATGGTTCTTGCAACTTAATCATCCAGAGTAGAAGGTAGTTGGTCACTGAATTATTGCCTATGTATTTGCCGATCGGTTTCCCGCATGCAGCTTCTGTACCTATCTAAATGGAGACCGTGTATATCAGAGGATTTCTTGGCCTAAACCCTCGAGGAGCCCTGATAAGAGTCTACTCCCCTATCAAATAGGATTGGGCCTAGCTATATTGTTACTTGGCTGGGGTGCTAGGCGCTAGGGTGAGTTTCTGCTGCGGGGCGGCGGGACTACCGCACTGCAATACCATTTCACTGGCGATGAGAAATACTCACTGGGGAATGTGGGGGATTCAAGTACCGTACCGGTAACCAAGTCTTGGCCGCATGCGGATTAATATACGGGTAGACGCGAGCAATATATGACGTGGGGCAACCCGAAGGGTATAGTATCTGATCTGGTCATCATGAACCGAGCTAGCCTTGTTTAGCTCTTTAATAATCGAACTGCTTAGTTTCCGTTACTATTACTGTAGGAAGGGGGCACGCGGACTGCCTTGCTGTACCTCAATCTGCTGGTACCCGCTCGGTTTGGCTTCAAACAACAAGACTAATCGGATCTGGCGGTGAAAGCCTGCGCTTTCGGGTGCCTTTTTTCAGTAGATATTTCTTCTGGAGGATTTGTACTTGCGCTGTATCCTAGGGCACCAGCAAGGCGCACGTAAGTGGCATCAATTCCCCCGGCCATTCCAGTTTGGAGGAGTGTCCCTCGTGGTGTTATGGAAGAATTGAGAAAGCCAGCCTAGCCGATATCAGTTGCCAGAATTGAGAAAGCCAAGCAAATATTTTAAATACAATCTATTATAGGGATATATGCTTAATACCGTATTTACTCGGACAGTCCACTGTCTCCGGTGAAGCCCTTGCCTCCATAACCAGAGACAATACTCCTCGAGAAAGAATGGTGGTTGCATGACGCAGTGTTGCCCGAGTAAACAAGGCATAGCATCACATACCACCTGTAGGGGTGGAGGAAATAAAGATGGGTCCCGCACCCTAATCTTGGATCTTACCGGTAGTGTCTAGCGGTATAAAACTGTAATACCGGCATCGGAACGCTTTAACCCGTGGCAAAATATTCCAGTTCTGTTTCGGACAGACCTCGTTTTTAAAACTCAGTGACCCATTTTGAGTTCACAATCCTAAGGTTTCCTTTTATTATCATTTTTGCGATTATCGAGAATGCCAGAGTGTTAGGTAACTCTTGATCGATTCGTTGTTCACCAGGATGATAGATGGATTTTTACCAATCTTGTCCAGATTTTCACCGTTTCACTCAACGGTTCCTTAGTCCGGTACCGTATTCCCCCCTTCCCCGTTCTCTTTCCGCCGTACCGCACTAGCCAGAGGACGGGATACCTCCAGATGTCTTAAGCAGGGGTCTGGTTTTGGAGTACGGGGCCCAGCTTTATTTCCTCGATCCCTGTCGGTGGTACCGGTATGCGATGGTATATTAAACATATAACTTTACCGCTGCAATAGATGCTACTTTAAGCCTTTTTCTCGGAAAACTCATCGAGTATGCGGCGGGCTCGGTGAAGTCTTCCGGGCTGCATCATTGTGGGGTGGCAGTGGCCATCTTTCGTGTGATTTTTCTCCTGAAAGTCTGTTCTCGCTGATTCAAAAGATTAGTGACTCCAATTACGTAGAGAATACTAGGCTACTAGATTCTCAGTGCCGTATGTTAGTGTTCTGTTAAACAAGGTCCATCCCTGTTGTTTCACACTGTACAAGTAGAATGCCCATAATGTTGACCATAGACTCAGCACAGCGCAAGAGCTATATACTGCGCAGTACCCGATCGCCCGGAATCTCATTCGGTGAAAGGGTATCAAGTTATCAGAGGTTGGTACATAGCCGCTGTGGATATACTACCAATCACGGTTGCAGAAATGGTGAACCCTTTTTGGTTCTTTTAATTTAGTCATCCTATTTTGGGAACTTCTGATCAATGAAAGTCGGAGATCTCAGGGGTAACGGAAAGGAAGGACTCGGAACAAGCCCCCGTTCCGAGCTTCGGATATGCGCTAGCAGGGATCTTGCCGTTCTTCCGGTGAGTGATGTTGGGCAGGCGGGTGTACATCGGGTTCTTGGGCCTTTCCAGCCAGCACCGGTGCTTCTGTTGTGAGGGGTAAACCAACACAACCCTTGACGGTCTTGGAACTATCTCCATTGTATTCTTCCAAGGAATAGCGATTTTAAACTCCGTCTGGAGATTTTATCTTAGATTCTCCTATTTCCAACCCGTCGAGTCAGTTTTCCAATGCTCTCTGGTGGATTGCTCACACTTTAGGAACACGATGCTCAGATTCTAGCAAACTATCAGGAGGAATACTCCAAGTGAAGATTTTGATGTTGAGCGCGGTAGGAATAATAGCCTGTTTTTAAGCCCCCTGTATCCCACCCCCCCTCCATCTTAATACCGGCATCCGGCTGGAGAGAAAACAATCGAAAACATCTTGCAAGCATTACGGTAGTACACTAACTGAACATATATAGTGGATTAGTATGGTGTATTCCAGTTTGCGATGAGGAACTGTTCCTCAGTGATTATGGTAGCCCACAGTTATCACTAGCTTGAAGAGGAGTTATCAGTATCCCACCCAATAATTCCCTATTTCTCTCCGACTTTATCCCCCTATCTCAGCTTTTCCTAACACAATCGAAGCCCCGGTCCCCAAAACAATCTCGAAGGTGGAATAATGCCCTAAGGTGGCCACTTTAGAGAACGAAGGTAGATACTATACTTTCAAGTTTGTGGTCCAGTTACTAATTCTATTTTCGTATGTAAACGGATTGAGTGAAACGTCGCCAAACAGCCAAATACTGCTTACCGTCGGCCACACCCTAGGCTACTAGATACTCCTCTCATGGCTACTCACCGTTCTGAGAGGCATATATCCATTGACGCTTTCTAAATTCCTTCCATATCACGCCGTATCATTCGCAGAGTTGAATCTACCAAACCTAAACTTTCCGCTAACCATCCTGCATATGCGGGATCTTAAGAAGATTAATGACAGTCTGGGAACTAGGAAATCTACCCCACATCTAAGCATGAATATTGCCCGTAACCCGGGACTAAATATTATACGGCATCCACACCTAACATGATTCGCTCGCTTCCCGCTCATAATGGAATCGCGATCACAAAGGATTGAGTCCCGTTAGTCCCTCCTGCTGCAGGCCTGAAGAAGCAATATAATGCGTCCCATATCCCATTTTCCGGGGTCAAGAAACATTAGCCATGACCAAACGGCTAAAACTATATGTGGGCAGGAAAAAAGGGGTTTTCTCCTAACTAAAATCCTCTGAAAACAAAGCAAAAGCTCGGAACTTAAACCAGCAGTAAACTTCCAATATATGCCATATCATCTAGCCTAAGGGTGCTCAGCAGTCGATAAAATTCCCTGGTGATACATGTGCAGATTGTACAATGGAAGGGAGCAGATTACTGAAAGGTTCCGGCAGGAGACCTTATCGTTGTCATTTAGCGTTCGGCCGGGCCTCCCAGATCCATGGTGCCGGGGAGGTATTCTGGTAGAGCACTCCACAAGAATTTCCGAGCGCTCGGGGGAGGTCGGTTCCTAAAGTAACTCCGTTGATAAAGTACCATATGGGCCCGGGTGTAACACCGAGGAGTGGAAACCAGCAAAGTGAGTTATGAGAGCTCGACTAGTAATATTTACCCTATGGAGAATGGATGTGGTAGACCCTCGCCTTTTGTTTAGCTATGATACCCAAACGCGAAATGGAGTTGGAACTGTTAGTCCCTATACCATCACCCCAAAGCTCCAACCTCCATACCCTGCCCTGATTGAGCAGGAGCTGGTAAGGTTCATGAGGATCCTGCGGTTCGCGGAGGCTATCCGAGAAGCTAGCACGTCTTCGTCATGACAAAAGTTGGGGGTGTACTACATCTCTTGTCAGAGCTTAGGGCCTATTCGTAGAATCGAGGATCAAAACAGGTAGCCCGGGAACTGGGATCCCCTGCCAAGTCTCTCAGCACAGTATAATGAAGGTAACTGTGTGACTGCTTCAGTGGACCTATCCCACGGCTGCCGACCTTGGGCGCTCCCACTCTGACCACTTTAAAACCGAGATTTTTACAAAGTTTGCAATTAGAGAGCCTAAGACATGAGAGGCGATGGATTTGAACATATTTCTCTCTCTCTATCACAATGGGTAAGTATCCTTAACAATTACCTCTCGCCAAAGAAAACCCCCACCTTCGGAATCCTAATTTATCCGTCATGTGAGACCGCCTTCTATTCTATTAGGATATCATACAACAAAATTTCTCGCTCTAATGGCTTAAGGTTCCACCTTAGGGCCGGTGGAGCATAGATAGATATTATAGGAACCCTAGGGCTTAGTAGAATAAATTGATAGGGTAGATATGAACACATTACATAACGATCTTACAAATAGTAGAATTCGGTAACAATTAGTAAATTAAAAGCAATTAACCAGACGCCGGGAAGCCTTCGCCGTTCAAACTATCATCTCG